ACGACCGCGACCGCGGGTTCCGGGGCGCGACCGCGGGATTCCAGGTCGGTGGGCAAAAATGTGGGCGCGCGACGCGCGCGGTGGACGCGGTGGGCGCGCGACGGGCGACGGCGGAGCCGGTGGACGCGCGCGCGCGCGACGACGACGACGGGGGCGATGGAAACTGCTCGAGCGCGACCGTGCGTGGGATCACCGCGGGGTGCCGTGCGAGATCGCGGCGACGATGGAGGCGGCGACGCGAGGTCGGCGGATGCGGTTCGAACGCGCGAGACGTCGGACGCGCGAGCCGACGCGCGGGCGTCTCCTCTTCGATCGTGGACGGTATCGATGACACACTACGCCACTAAATCGCGCAAGTTTAACTTCTCCAACCACTCCGTGACGGTGTCGACGCCGTCGTCCGTCGTGGAGGCGAACTCTTTGATCTCCAACGCGCCCGCGACCAAGCCGGCGAACTTCGCCGCGCGGAGCTCCACGAGGGCGGCGCCCGCAAAGTCGCGGCGAACGGTGACGTCCTCGATGCCGCTTCCGGCGGCGGTGATGAAATCGAGCGCGACGGCGCCGGCGGCGACGACGGATGCGACCACTTTCGACAAGAGCTTGGGCGCCATGGGGCAATCGATCGCGATGTCGTCGAGCACGCTCACGACGTCGCCGATCGCCTGCTCGAGCGTGGACGTGTCGAACCCACCGTCGGTGAAGAGCGCGGCGAGCAATTTTGCGACCAAATCAGCCGTCTTCACCGTGGATTCGTTGACGACGCGATCGACGAGCGCGCGCGCGACGTTCATCTTCGTCGCCTCCTCGTCGCTCGTGCGTTTGATCACGTCGGAGACGCACAACAGAGCTTCGCTGACGTCGCCGACTTGGCAGTACTCGTCGACGAAGGATGCGATCTTTTGATCCGCTTGCTCGGCGCTGTAGTTTGAACTCGACGGGACGGCGCCGCTGGCGGCGGCCGCCGCGGCTTCCGCCTTGGCCTCGGCGCGCGCCTTGGCGTCGCTCCGGAGTTTCGCCTCGAGCGCGGCGCGGTTCGCCGCGGTGGGAAACGTCGTCGTTCCCGCCGGCGCGGCGTATGGACCGCGCAACGGCGCGAACGATGCGCTCGTCGATTTCGGTCCCTCCGGGAACAGGATTTCATCGGAAACGGCGGGCGTCGCGTTCGCGAGCGCATCCGCGACGGAATGGGAAGACTTTTTCGAGTCATCCGCGGACGCCGTCTTCTTCGATTTCCACCCCGTCAGGCGCGATTCGATCACGTCTCGGCACGCGAATCGAACTAGAGCGTTCAATTCGTCGGATTCGCCCCAGACGTTGAGCCGAGCGACGTAGGCGTCGACAACCTTCTTCATGTTTTTATCCAAAACCGCGCCGCACGTCTCGAGGAGACCGCACATGGCGTCGACGTAATCTTCGCTCGGCGTCGTCCCAGATTCGCCGATGAGCTCATCCGCGATCGCTCGAACGACGCCTTCGCCGACGAAACCGCGAACGTAGAGAGCGCCGACCGTCCTAGCCGCGCCGCACGCGCGCGTCTTCAATTTCTTCGCCGCGGCTTCGCGCTCGAATCGGTCCGCGACCGATTTCGCGAGAGTCTGTCTCGCCAGCTCCGCCGCCTCGAAATCGTCCTGCAAAGCGCTCAGGAACAAGGACTTGAACGACGCGCTCGACGCGCCGTTGTTGATCAAATACGCGTTGGGCGCCAACGCGTTCGCCTTGACGCACAGCTCGGCGCACGCGTTCGCCGCGCGCTCGTCCGAGACGCACCGATCGACGATGGCGCTCGCCAACGTTTTCGCCACCTCGATCTCATTCATCGCGCAATCCTTCAACTGCGCCACCGCTCGTTCGACTTTATCGTCCGAGAGCTTGTTGCACGCGGCGCGCGCGACGCGCTTGGACTTATCCACGTCCAGAGGACCGACGCTCTGCCCCGGCGCCGCGGTCGCCGGTCGCTCGCTCGCCGCGGCCACGGTCTCCGTCTCCTGCATCACCGCCTTATCCTTCTCCTTCCCAGGGTCTTTATGTCCTTTACCCCAGACGCTCCCCTCGGCGCGCGCGACGGCTTCGTTCGCGTCGTTCAGCACGCACTCGATCGTCGACGCGCTCAGCTCCACCGGGAGCTCGCTCGCCCCCATGGACGTCCGCATCGCCAACATCGTCGCTCTATCGTACGCGTGCGTCACCACGGACCCGATCCCACGCGCGCGCGCGTCACCGTCCCCGTCCGTCCCTCGCCCACCACTCGCGGTGGCTGACGATCCATCCTTTGCAGAAACCACCTCGGTGGACGCGTCCACGGTCGCGTCGGCACCGCGTCCGCTCCCGCGCGCGCCGAACGCGCGAATGTCCACGCGCGGGCGAAGCGCGGGCGTCATCGCGCGCGAGCGAACGCGGTGTCGAGGACGATCGATCGCGCCGACGCCACGCATCGGAAAACCCTCGTTCGCGAACTCGACGCTCGAGCTAAACCCTAGATCGAGCGCATCGACCGCCCGTCCCATCGCCGTCCCATCGCATTCACCCATCGATCGCACGCGACGTCGTCCGCCTCGATCGATCGCGACGACGATCGCGCCGTGGACGTTTACCATCCCTCGCGACGCTTTCGAAGCGACCGCGCGCGCGGTACCGCGCGTGCGAGGGTCGTTTTTTCGACGACGACGCACGGGCGATGGGACGCGCCCCATCGTCGCATCGTTCTGGTTTTCGCTCGACGCGCCGATGCCGAGGACGACGCGTCGACGCGACCGCGCGCATCGTCGGTCGCGACGATCGCGCGCGCGGCGTCGGCGCGTCGACGCGCGCGGCGTCGACGCGGCGTCGACGACGGACGGACGCACGCGTCGACGGGCGTGGTGCCTCGATCGCGTCGACGGGCGTGGTGCCCAGATCGCGTCACGCCGATGGGCGCGACGGACGATCGCCGCGCGCGTGGGAAGGCGGTCGTCGTCGCGTTCGAGGACGTCGATCTCGGCGACGCGATCGATTTGCCGGGGGAGCGCGCGGAGGAGACGTGCGCGCGGTGCGCGCGGACGCGCGAGCGATTACGACGGGCGCTCCCGAGCTCGTTCGAGATCCCGATTGCGACGTACGTCGCCGCGTCGGGGGGGTGCGAGACGTGCGTGGAGACGTCGGAAGGGGGGGTGGGGACGTGGGATGTGCCCGTGGTTGGGTTCTGTGGAGAAACGGCGCTGCACGCGGCGGCGCGGGGGGGGTACGAGGGAATCGCGCGACGCGCGCTCGACGCGGGCGCGGACGCGGACGCGACGCGCAAGGATGGAAGCTCCGTGCTCATGGTCGCAGTGCGTTGGTGTTCCACCGTGAATATCGTTCGAATGCTTCTTCACAAGGGGGTGCGCGTGAACGCGGATGATTTACAAGGCGTGACGGCGCTCCACATCGCGGTACGGCGCAGAAAATCAAGTTTCGTCCGCGCTCTTCTCGAAGCCGAGGATGTCGACGTGCACGCGCAAACGATAAATGGGGACACCCCGCTCCATGAGGCTGTGGGAGAGCGAGACGTGGATATCATTAAACTACTTCTCGACGCCAAGGCAGATGTGCACGTCAGAAATAAGCACGGCCATACGCCGATATCGCTCGCCGTAGAGAATGGACTCGCGGATGTTTTCGTGAATGAACTCATCTCGCCGACGTCGCCGGAGAGCACGGGTACGTATTCAACATCGTCTACTGCTGTGAACGCGATGGTCAAGTCATGCTACGCGGGACACGACAAAGTCGTGCACTGTCTCGTTCAACACGGGGTTGACGTCAACGGCGCGTTCGATGCGCGCGTCAATCCGAGTGACGAGCAGCGCGTGATGCGTGGATTGACGGGTCTCATGGCTGCCTGCATGGCGGACAAGATCGATTTGGTAAGAGCACTCATTAATTACGGTGCCGACGTCAATACACGCTGCGATGAGAGCGTGCACTTTCGCGGCTTTTCCGCAATCGCCTTCGCCGCAGACCGCGGTTCCCTCGATATCGTTCGATTGCTCATTGAGAACGGGGCTGTAGTCAACACGTCTGATGGATGTGATCCGATAATCCAGGCAAGTGATCGAGGTCACGCAGAAATTGTTCGCTTTCTCATCGGTCATGGCTCAAACGTGCACGCGACCCGCCCGAGTGATGGGCTCACCGCAATCGCGCTTGCGGCACAGAATGGTCACGAACCCATCGTCGGCAATTTGTTGACCCACGGTGCGGTGATGGACGTGGAATCACTACTGCGCGCTTCGCGTCCGCGAGCGCGCGGACGTCGACGCGATTGGTGAGCGCGGTGGGTGACGACGCGGATGGAGACGCGGCGCTCGAGGAGTGGTCGAGACGGGCGCGCGGCGGAGGCGACGATGGCGTGCGAATAGTGAAGGGTGGACGCACGGCGCGCGTCGTAGCGGTGCTGGATGGTGATGGAGAGATCGCGGCGTGCGTCGCGGACGTGGAGATCGTCGAGGAGGGGGTGGACAGCGCGTGGTGCGCCTCGCAGGCGAACGCGTGCCGGGACGCGCGCGGGATGGTTTTAGACGGTAATCTCGGTCAAGAGGCGATCGAGACGGTGAAAGAGATGGCGAGAAAGTTCAATAAGTGGCTTTGGTACGAACCAGTGAGCGTGGAAAAGTCAACGCGGATCTTGGGAGGCGGAGTTGACGACGCCGCTCGACCGCTCCGTGGAGTGACGTTTTGTTCGCCCAACGCCGCGGAGCTTCGAGAGCTCGCAAACGGGGTTCGTCGGGGATGGGCGAAGGGATCACCCATGTCGCCGTGTCCGTTCAACCCAGAGTTCAAGTTTAAGAACGCAAGCGAGGCGTTGGATGCTCTCGCGAGTGACGTGTGCACGGTTTTAGCTGCCGGATGCGAGCACGTAGTCCTCACTCTCGGCCCGCTTGGTGTGGTCGTCTCCAGCGCGCCGAGCGACGGCGAGGTTTCTCGAGCGACACACACGCACGTTCCGGCGGTGAGAGCGGACGTTGTATCTCTCGTCGGTGCCGGTGACGCGCTCGTTGGAGGCGCGGTGGGAGCACTGGCGGAGGGCGCAAGTCTGCTGATAGCCATCGCGAGAGGGGTCGCGTGCGCGTCGATAGCGTGCGAACGTGCCGGTGCTGCTCTGTTAGACGTCGACGCGAACGAGATGGAGAAGCGGGCGGCAATCGCGTTCGCCGGGATTTCAATATTAGCACCGGCAGTGCGTTGAGCGACTGTCGTGGCGGACAAATCAGCGATTATATCGTACTTGTACAGTGTAATACATACTAGCTTCTTCGCGATGCGTTCGTCGCCGGTTCAAAAGTGCACTCCTCGAGCTCACGACGGACTCGCTCTTCCGCCAATGCCTTGCGCCGTCGCGCTGCTTTCTCGTCCACGTTCTCCGCCACGCTGAAAGGTTCAGGAATTGTGCGCCTGTGTCGGCGATCG